AAATGGATTTATTGATGTAAAGCTAGCATACGGTTATATAATCAGGTGAGCTGAACGTGTTCTATCCCGAGGGGAAAGGTAAAGGAAGAAGGAAAATGGTGCATGGACACGTACAAGGCCTATAAGAACGTTTGTCATCACCGGGGGCAAGATATAAGTTAATAATCGACTTGAAATTAAGGTGCGTGGTTAAAGGGGGCTAGAGTAGTTTTCGTTATCAGTATATGCATTTAAGTTCATGTTATGCATTTCAGTTCTTGCTTTAGTTCAGTCCATCCTTATATGCTTTCATATTAAGTTGATTTGTTTACGTTTCAGTCTTTACGTTTATGTATGCATAGCATCATGAAGCATATGTAAACTACGTTATGAGTCAACCAAATGCAAGTTCAATTATAAGCTAATTAAGTTCAAGTTAATAAGCTTGTATCTTCCCATTGTGCGGGAGATCACCTAATTAAGCTCAAACTTCTCAAGTCAAGTAAGCAAGTATAAGATTAAGTATGACTCTCCATCGTGGGAGAGGTTGTTCAAGCAAGCATGTATAAGATATCAAGTTAATAAGTAAGAATAAGAACCCTCTCTTAACTAGTTGCACACGGTCACCTTACTCCTTGTAGATGAGGAGCACCTTGTAGATGAGGGGTCATGATATGTATGTCACGATCGGTGCCGGACGCGGTCACCACTACTCCCTGTAGATGGGGAGGTATGCTATGTTACTCCTTGTAGATGAGGAGGTTATGTTCATGATACGTTGGTGCCGGACGGATGTGCTAGTTAGGTCGAGGGCGGGATCCCATATCAAGTTAAGCAAGAAGAAAAGATTATAAGCAAGAATATGTTAATAATAAGATACTTTTACTAATGTACCCAATAACATACCATAAGCATTGCATGTGCATGACTATCTGTTTAAGTATGATAACGAAATTAGGATTAGGACTGACCCCATCGCCCGCACTCAGGAGGTACAAGGAAGCAGGAGCATTCAGACCACTAGTCAAGAGAAAGGTGTTGCTCGGGATGTCATCGTCACAAGGGTTAGTGATTGCAAAAGATTCCAAGTGAACAGTTTCACTTTTGTACTTTTATTAGTAGGCTTGAGACTGATGCTCATTTATGATTTGTTAAGAGGGATTTTTCCTATGGTGATTTAAAAATTATTTTTCTGTATTATTTCCATTTTGAGTTATCTTGATTACTTAAGGGCATTTTGGTAAATTTAGTGCTCGGCCGAGCAAGGGTGTTACATTTTGGTATCAGAGCCGGTCTCCCTCTGTCTTCACTTTGTAAGTGAGATACTGGGAATTCGGTCTCCATGTTTCCTACGAGTATTAAAGGTTTTAAGAAGTTTTCAAGAAAACCGAAAATCGTTTTAGAGCATCCAGTCTCGTCTACTAACAAGTGCAATGTTCCAAGGTTTTGACACAATGTCATTGAACTTATGTAGGAGTATGAATAGCGAGAGCTCTCATCAGGGTGATGGTCGGCGGCCGCCCCCAAACTATACCCTGCTTAGGAAAATGGGGGTGGTTGACTTCGAGGGATCCTCTGACCCCGACATTGTCGATGCATGGCTGTTGAAGCTCACTCGGACTTTGGATGAGCTCCGTATTGATAATGATGAGGATAGGATCGCCATGGCTGTCCACGTGCTCCAGGGAACTGCTAGGGATTGGTGGCATCTCCAGCCGGAGAGTGAAGTGGTACCTCTTGAGATCACCTGGAACCAGTTTGTGAAGATGTTCCTCGATGAGTACATCCCCCAAACAGTCCGGGACGATAAGAGGGAGGATTTCATGAAGTTGGAGCAGCAATGGGGGCAGAGTGTCACGGAATACACAGAGCTATTCAAGAAGTTGTGCAAGTATGCTGATCTCGTGTATCGGACTGCAGCAGGGATGCGAGATCGTTATGTTCGGGGTTTGAGAGCAGAACTAAGAAAATGTATGGGAGAAGCAGAGAGGGCATCTCAAGCCACTGCATACCGAGCTGCCCTTCGCATCGAGAGGGATGAGAAGATGGCGGAAGAGGAGAGGGATGCGAGGCTTGGTACGAAGAAGAGGAAGGAGCCAACCAACTCTGTGGCCACGACTTACTCGACACAACCTTTCAAGAGGGGATCTGGTTTATCTAGCCAACATCAGTCTTGGAGCCAGGATATCTCCACGAGGTATGCACCAACACAACGACTATATCCACTATGCCCAAAATGTGACAAGCGTCATCCGGGTGAGTGCAGGCGTAATATGGGTGTTTGTTTTGAGTGCGGTGAGCCGGGACATATAAAGTGGAATTGCCCACAACTTGCAGACCATACAAGGGTTATTTCTGAGCCATCAGTAGCTGGGGGTAGGGCACAGTCAGGAAGTAGGTTCAGTGGCCGGACTAACAACTCCGACATCAACAAAAATGGTGGACGTTTCAATGACACCAATACCCACAATGTCAGGCGTGATCAGAGCCAGATGTCCAGAGCTGGTGGACGGCCAAGAGTCTTTGCTATGGAAAAGATGGCCAGTGGGTGTGGAGAAGATGGAAGGGATGAACCAACGCTTTGAAGTGACTCTGTTGGTGATTGGAAGACTTTGAGATGGAACTATTTGTGCTTGACTATTTGAATTGGTTATTAGTTTAATATGGTCGGTTAGTAGTATTATGATGTCGGTAGTAATGAGAGTGAAGACTCAACTTTTTATGTTAGCATGATTTTAATTTCGGGGACGAAATTTTCTTAAGGGGGAGGGAAATGTCACACCCGTACCCAGAATTTTAGGGAATTCCTAAATTACCCCTATCATCAGTTATTAAACCTAAACGAATATAATTGTTGACCCTAACCTAAATTCAAATGGAAGCAGCCGCTCAACCCACAAGCTTCTTAACCCTCCAACTATAAGTATATAACTACACCAAAACCTAGTACGTACGAGGCGGCCGCAAATTAAAACCCCATTCTTTTCCTCCGCACAAGACACAGCAACCATCCCGTGAGCTCCCGCCGACTAGAACACATCACCACCGTCGAACCTCCTCATCCCTTCGGCCAAGACACCACCACCGGGAGAAGCGACCGGCTAATGGAAGAAGCGGCTGGATAACCAGAACGAAGGATCGCACGATCTCTCCCGCCGCGAGCCACTGCCAAATCCCACAGCTCCGATCCGTTCTTGGAGCTCTAATAGCAACGACAAGGTTGCGGAGGACGCAAACAACCATCGATCAGGAAGTCACGTATTAGAGGTAATGGATTTGTCCTCGTCCATTTTATTGTAGACTCGGTGATAATTGGAGACGGTGGTAGTTGCAGTAGGTCATTATTTAAAGGGACGAGCTACGAATGCTTATATATATATGGACGAGTGCAATGGATATATATTGTGATGGATTAGTAACTAAGTTTAGTTACGTGGATGATATGCATGGCAGTTTAATTATATTAAGGGGGTTGAATTAATGAAATCGGAAATGGATTTATTGATGTAAAGCTAGCATACGGTTATATAATCAGGTGAGCTGAACGTGTTCTATCCCGAGGGGAAAGGTAAAGGAAGAAGGAAAATGGTGCATGGACACGTACAAGGCCTATAAGAACGTTTGTCATCACCGGGGGCAAGATATAAGTTAATAATCGACTTGAAATTAAGGTGCGTGGTTAAAGGGGGCTAGAGTAGTTTTCGTTATCAGTATATGCATTTAAGTTCATGTTATGCATTTCAGTTCTTGCTTTAGTTCAGTCCATCCTTATATGCTTTCATATTAAGTTGATTTGTTTACGTTTCAGTCTTTACGTTTATGTATGCATAGCATCATGAAGCATATGTAAACTACGTTATGAGTCAACCAAATGCAAGTTCAATTATAAGCTAATTAAGTTCAAGTTAATAAGCTTGTATCTTCCCATTGTGCGGGAGATCACCTAATTAAGCTCAAACTTCTCAAGTCAAGTAAGCAAGTATAAGATTAAGTATGACTCTCCATCGTGGGAGAGGTTGTTCAAGCAAGCATGTATAAGATATCAAGTTAATAAGTAAGAATAAGAACCCTCTCTTAACTAGTTGCACACGGTCACCTTACTCCTTGTAGATGAGGAGCACCTTGTAGATGAGGGGTCATGATATGTATGTCACGATCGGTGCCGGACGCGGTCACCACTACTCCCTGTAGATGGGGAGGTATGCTATGTTACTCCTTGTAGATGAGGAGGTTATGTTCATGATACGTTGGTGCCGGACGGATGTGCTAGTTAGGTCGAGGGCGGGATCCCATATCAAGTTAAGCAAGAAGAAAAGATTATAAGCAAGAATATGTTAATAATAAGATACTTTTACTAATGTACCCAATAACATACCATAAGCATTGCATGTGCATGACTATCTGTTTAAGTATGATAACGAAATTAGGATTAGGACTGACCCCATCGCCCGCACTCAGGAGGTACAAGGAAGCAGGAGCATTCAGACCACTAGTCAAGAGAAAGGTGTTGCTCGGGATGTCATCGTCACAAGGGTTAGTGATTGCAAAAGATTCCAAGTGAACAGTTTCACTTTTGTACTTTTATTAGTAGGCTTGAGACTGATGCTCATTTATGATTTGTTAAGAGGGATTTTTCCTATGGTGATTTAAAAATTATTTTTCTGTATTATTTCCATTTTGAGTTATCTTGATTACTTAAGGGCATTTTGGTAAATTTAGTGCTCGGCCGAGCAAGGGTGTTACATTTTGGTATCAGAGCCGGTCTCCCTCTGTCTTCACTTTGTAAGTGAGATACTGGGAATTCGGTCTCCATGTTTCCTACGAGTATTAAAGGTTTTAAGAAGTTTTCAAGAAAACCGAAAATCGTTTTAGAGCATCCAGTCTCGTCTACTAACAAGTGCAATGTTCCAAGGTTTTGACACAATGTCATTGAACTTATGTAGGAGTATGAATAGCGAGAGCTCTCATCAGGGTGATGGTCGGCGGCCGCCCCCAAACTATACCCTGCTTAGGAAAATGGGGGTGGTTGACTTCGAGGGATCCTCTGACCCCGACATTGTCGATGCATGGCTGTTGAAGCTCACTCGGACTTTGGATGAGCTCCGTATTGATAATGATGAGGATAGGATCGCCATGGCTGTCCACGTGCTCCAGGGAACTGCTAGGGATTGGTGGCATCTCCAGCCGGAGAGTGAAGTGGTACCTCTTGAGATCACCTGGAACCAGTTTGTGAAGATGTTCCTCGATGAGTACATCCCCCAAACAGTCCGGGACGATAAGAGGGAGGATTTCATGAAGTTGGAGCAGCAATGGGGGCAGAGTGTCACGGAATACACAGAGCTATTCAAGAAGTTGTGCAAGTATGCTGATCTCGTGTATCGGACTGCAGCAGGGATGCGAGATCGTTATGTTCGGGGTTTGAGAGCAGAACTAAGAAAATGTATGGGAGAAGCAGAGAGGGCATCTCAAGCCACTGCATACCGAGCTGCCCTTCGCATCGAGAGGGATGAGAAGATGGCGGAAGAGGAGAGGGATGCGAGGCTTGGTACGAAGAAGAGGAAGGAGCCAACCAACTCTGTGGCCACGACTTACTCGACACAACCTTTCAAGAGGGGATCTGGTTTATCTAGCCAACATCAGTCTTGGAGCCAGGATATCTCCACGAGGTATGCACCAACACAACGACTATATCCACTATGCCCAAAATGTGACAAGCGTCATCCGGGTGAGTGCAGGCGTAATATGGGTGTTTGTTTTGAGTGCGGTGAGCCGGGACATATAAAGTGGAATTGCCCACAACTTGCAGACCATACAAGGGTTATTTCTGAGCCATCAGTAGCTGGGGGTAGGGCACAGTCAGGAAGTAGGTTCAGTGGCCGGACTAACAACTCCGACATCAACAAAAATGGTGGACGTTTCAATGACACCAATACCCACAATGTCAGGCGTGATCAGAGCCAGATGTCCAGAGCTGGTGGACGGCCAAGAGTCTTTGCTATGGAAAAGATGGCCAGTGGGTGTGGAGAAGATGGAAGGGATGAACCAACGCTTTGAAGTGACTCTGTTGGTGATTGGAAGACTTTGAGATGGAACTATTTGTGCTTGACTATTTGAATTGGTTATTAGTTTAATATGGTCGGTTAGTAGTATTATGATGTCGGTAGTAATGAGAGTGAAGACTCAACTTTTTATGTTAGCATGATTTTAATTTCGGGGACGAAATTTTCTTAAGGGGGAGGGAAATGTCACACCCGTACCCAGAATTTTAGGGAATTCCTAAATTACCCCTATCATCAGTTATTAAACCTAAACGAATATAATTGTTGACCCTAACCTAAATTCAAATGGAAGCAGCCGCTCAACCCACAAGCTTCTTAACCCTCCAACTATAAGTATATAACTACACCAAAACCTAGTACGTACGAGGCGGCCGCAAATTAAAACCCCATTCTTTTCCTCCGCACAAGACACAGCAACCATCCCGTGAGCTCCCGCCGACTAGAACACATCACCACCGTCGAACCTCCTCATCCCTTCGGCCAAGACACCACCACCGGGAGAAGCGACCGGCTAATGGAAGAAGCGGCTGGATAACCAGAACGAAGGATCGCACGATCTCTCCCGCCGCGAGCCACTGCCAAATCCCACAGCTCCGATCCGTTCTTGGAGCTCTAATAGCAACGACAAGGTTGCGGAGGACGCAAACAACCATCGATCAGGAAGTCACGTATTAGAGGTAATGGATTTGTCCTCGTCCATTTTATTGTAGACTCGGTGATAATTGGAGACGGTGGTAGTTGCAGTAGGTCATTATTTAAAGGGACGAGCTACGAATGCTTATATATATATGGACGAGTGCAATGGATATATATTGTGATGGATTAGTAACTAAGTTTAGTTACGTGGATGATATGCATGGCAGTTTAATTATATTAAGGGGGTTGAATTAATGAAATCGGAAATGGATTTATTGATGTAAAGCTAGCATACGGTTATATAATCAGGTGAGCTGAACGTGTTCTATCCCGAGGGGAAAGGTAAAGGAAGAAGGAAAATGGTGCATGGACACGTACAAGGCCTATAAGAACGTTTGTCATCACCGGGGGCAAGATATAAGTTAATAATCGACTTGAAATTAAGGTGCGTGGTTAAAGGGGGCTAGAGTAGTTTTCGTTATCAGTATATGCATTTAAGTTCATGTTATGCATTTCAGTTCTTGCTTTAGTTCAGTCCATCCTTATATGCTTTCATATTAAGTTGATTTGTTTACGTTTCAGTCTTTACGTTTATGTATGCATAGCATCATGAAGCATATGTAAACTACGTTATGAGTCAACCAAATGCAAGTTCAATTATAAGCTAATTAAGTTCAAGTTAATAAGCTTGTATCTTCCCATTGTGCGGGAGATCACCTAATTAAGCTCAAACTTCTCAAGTCAAGTAAGCAAGTATAAGATTAAGTATGACTCTCCATCGTGGGAGAGGTTGTTCAAGCAAGCATGTATAAGATATCAAGTTAATAAGTAAGAATAAGAACCCTCTCTTAACTAGTTGCACACGGTCACCTTACTCCTTGTAGATGAGGAGCACCTTGTAGATGAGGGGTCATGATATGTATGTCACGATCGGTGCCGGACGCGGTCACCACTACTCCCTGTAGATGGGGAGGCATGCTATGTTACTCCTTGTAGATGAGGAGGTTATGTTCATGATACGTTGGTGCCGGACGGATGTGCTAGTTAGGTCGAGGGCGGGATCCCATATCAAGTTAAGCAAGAAGAAAAGATTATAAGCAAGAATATGTTAATAATAAGATACTTTTACTAATGTACCCAATAACATACCATAAGCATTGCATGTGCATGACTATCTGTTTAAGTATGATAACGAAATTAGGATTAGGACTGACCCCATCGCCCGCACTCAGGAGGTACAAGGAAGCAGGAGCATTCAGACCACTAGTCAAGAGAAAGGTGTTGCTCGGGATGTCATCGTCACAAGGGTTAGTGATTGCAAAAGATTCCAAGTGAACAGTTTCACTTTTGTACTTTTATTAGTAGGCTTGAGACTGATGCTCATTTATGATTTGTTAAGAGGGATTTTTCCTATGGTGATTTAAAAATTATTTTTCTGTATTATTTCCATTTTGAGTTATCTTGATTACTTAAGGGCATTTTGGTAAATTTAGTGCTCGGCCGAGCAAGGGTGTTACATTTTGGTATCAGAGCCGGTCTCCCTCTGTCTTCACTTTGTAAGTGAGATACTGGGAATTCGGTCTCCATGTTTCCTACGAGTATTAAAGGTTTTAAGAAGTTTTCAAGAAAACCGAAAATCGTTTTAGAGCATCCAGTCTCGTCTACTAACAAGTGCAATGTTCCAAGGTTTTGACACAATGTCATTGAACTTATGTAGGAGTATGAATAGCGAGAGCTCTCATCAGGGTGATGGTCGGCGGCCGCCCCCAAACTATACCCTGCTTAGGAAAATGGGGGTGGTTGACTTCGAGGGATCCTCTGACCCCGACATTGTCGATGCATGGCTGTTGAAGCTCACTCGGACTTTGGATGAGCTCCGTATTGATAATGATGAGGATAGGATCGCCATGGCTGTCCACGTGCTCCAGGGAACTGCTAGGGATTGGTGGCATCTCCAGCCGGAGAGTGAAGTGGTACCTCTTGAGATCACCTGGAACCAGTTTGTGAAGATGTTCCTCGATGAGTACATCCCCCAAACAGTCCGGGACGATAAGAGGGAGGATTTCATGAAGTTGGAGCAGCAATGGGGGCAGAGTGTCACGGAATACACAGAGCTATTCAAGAAGTTGTGCAAGTATGCTGATCTCGTGTATCGGACTGCAGCAGGGATGCGAGATCGTTATGTTCGGGGTTTGAGAGCAGAACTAAGAAAATGTATGGGAGAAGCAGAGAGGGCATCTCAAGCCACTGCATACCGAGCTGCCCTTCGCATCGAGAGGGATGAGAAGATGGCGGAAGAGGAGAGGGATGCGAGGCTTGGTACGAAGAAGAGGAAGGAGCCAACCAACTCTGTGGCCACGACTTACTCGACACAACCTTTCAAGAGGGGATCTGGTTTATCTAGCCAACATCAGTCTTGGAGCCAGGATATCTCCACGAGGTATGCACCAACACAACGACTATATCCACTATGCCCAAAATGTGACAAGCGTCATCCGGGTGAGTGCAGGCGTAATATGGGTGTTTGTTTTGAGTGCGGTGAGCCGGGACATATAAAGTGGAATTGCCCACAACTTGCAGACCATACAAGGGTTATTTCTGAGCCATCAGTAGCTGGGGGTAGGGCACAGTCAGGAAGTAGGTTCAGTGGCCGGACTAACAACTCCGACATCAACAAAAATGGTGGACGTTTCAATGACACCAATACCCACAATGTCAGGCGTGATCAGAGCCAGATGTCCAGAGCTGGTGGACGGCCAAGAGTCTTTGCTATGGAAAAGATGGCCAGTGGGTGTGGAGAAGATGGAAGGGATGAACCAACGCTTTGAAGTGACTCTGTTGGTGATTGGAAGACTTTGAGATGGAACTATTTGTGCTTGACTATTTGAATTGGTTATTAGTTTAATATGGTCGGTTAGTAGTATTATGATGTCGGTAGTAATGAGAGTGAAGACTCAACTTTTTATGTTAGCATGATTTTAATTTCGGGGACGAAATTTTCTTAAGGGGGAGGGAAATGTCACACCCGTACCCAGAATTTTAGGGAATTCCTAAATTACCCCTATCATCAGTTATTAAACCTAAACGAATATAATTGTTGACCCTAACCTAAATTCAAATGGAAGCAGCCGCTCAACCCACAAGCTTCTTAACCCTCCAACTATAAGTATATAACTACACCAAAACCTAGTACGTACGAGGCGGCCGCAAATTAAAACCCCATTCTTTTCCTCCGCACAAGACACAGCAACCATCCCGTGAGCTCCCGCCGACTAGAACACATCACCACCGTCGAACCTCCTCATCCCTTCGGCCAAGACACCACCACCGGGAGAAGCGACCGGCTAATGGAAGAAGCGGCTGGATAACCAGAACGAAGGATCGCACGATCTCTCCCGCCGCGAGCCACTGCCAAATCCCACAGCTCCGATCCGTTCTTGGAGCTCTAATAGCAACGACAAGGTTGCGGAGGACGCAAACAACCATCGATCAGGAAGTCACGTATTAGAGGTAATGGATTTGTCCTCGTCCATTTTATTGTAGACTCGGTGATAATTGGAGACGGTGGTAGTTGCAGTAGGTCATTATTTAAAGGGACGAGCTACGAATGCTTATATATATATGGACGAGTGCAATGGATATATATTGTGATGGATTAGTAACTAAGTTTAGTTACGTGGATGATATGCATGGCAGTTTAATTATATTAAGGGGGTTGAATTAATGAAATCGGAAATGGATTTATTGATGTAAAGCTAGCATACGGTTATATAATCAGGTGAGCTGAACGTGTTCTATCCCGAGGGGAAAGGTAAAGGAAGAAGGAAAATGGTGCATGGACACGTACAAGGCCTATAAGAACGTTTGTCATCACCGGGGGCAAGATATAAGTTAATAATCGACTTGAAATTAAGGTGCGTGGTTAAAGGGGGCTAGAGTAGTTTTCGTTATCAGTATATGCATTTAAGTTCATGTTATGCATTTCAGTTCTTGCTTTAGTTCAGTCCATCCTTATATGCTTTCATATTAAGTTGATTTGTTTACGTTTCAGTCTTTACGTTTATGTATGCATAGCATCATGAAGCATATGTAAACTACGTTATGAGTCAACCAAATGCAAGTTCAATTATAAGCTAATTAAGTTCAAGTTAATAAGCTTGTATCTTCCCATTGTGCGGGAGATCACCTAATTAAGCTCAAACTTCTCAAGTCAAGTAAGCAAGTATAAGATTAAGTATGACTCTCCATCGTGGGAGAGGTTGTTCAAGCAAGCATGTATAAGATATCAAGTTAATAAGTAAGAATAAGAACCCTCTCTTAACTAGTTGCACACGGTCACCTTACTCCTTGTAGATGAGGAGCACCTTGTAGATGAGGGGTCATGATATGTATGTCACGATCGGTGCCGGACGCGGTCACCACTACTCCCTGTAGATGGGGAGGTATGCTATGTTACTCCTTGTAGATGAGGAGGTTATGTTCATGATACGTTGGTGCCGGACGGATGTGCTAGTTAGGTCGAGGGCGGGATCCCATATCAAGTTAAGCAAGAAGAAAAGATTATAAGCAAGAATATGTTAATAATAAGATACTTTTACTAATGTACCCAATAACATACCATAAGCATTGCATGTGCATGACTATCTGTTTAAGTATGATAACGAAATTAGGATTAGGACTGACCCCATCGCCCGCACTCAGGAGGTACAAGGAAGCAGGAGCATTCAGACCACTAGTCAAGAGAAAGGTGTTGCTCGGGATGTCATCGTCACAAGGGTTAGTGATTGCAAAAGATTCCAAGTGAACAGTTTCACTTTTGTACTTTTATTAGTAGGCTTGAGACTGATGCTCATTTATGATTTGTTAAGAGGGATTTTTCCTATGGTGATTTAAAAATTATTTTTCTGTATTATTTCCATTTTGAGTTATCTTGATTACTTAAGGGCATTTTGGTAAATTATTGCTCGGCCGAGCAAGGGTGTTACAATAGGTTTTGTCATTAAAAAACTTAGTTTGTGCTTTTTTTTTTTTTGCAGGAATCGGTTATTCCCCTCTCCCAAAGAGGGACATCACACTTGCCCCCTTTGCATGAACAAATCTTGCTATATCTAGAAAAGATAGGGTAAGATTTTTCATGGGAATGGAGATTGAGAACGAGCTATTGACGACTATCTCATTGCCACATATGATAACTTATTCGTACATATCGCTGCTTCTACTAGTGTTTGGATATTGGTAAGTAATATTGCAAACTCTCATTTGCCACTCACGCAAGTTCGGTCCACACAAATGTCATAAGAATTCATACCACGTGAATCTGGTCTCAATTTTTACCCTAGTGAATTCACCATCTTCATAAGCGATCATGATGTGAGTGTTTGTCATCTGACCATTCCACCGAATAGGTAGCTGAAAATTTCAAAAATTTCTATAAAAAATCCAATTGAAATAACTATGGATCACATACAATTTAGCATATAAACTAAATTCAACAAACTTAATATAACCTACAAAAGACACCAATACCCTAATTTATCATGCATTGGACATTCAAAAGACCAATATCTCCTACAATCTACTTGAATCCAAATAATTAGCATAATTGATATTAACCCTAATTAGTGAAACCCAAAACAAAACTACTTAAAGTATTGAGCAAAAGATTATTAAACGTGTAAATTGCAATGTTGGGTAGAGTGATTACTAAAAAATTTTATGTTTGGTCACTACAAATATTTAATTCCATTTATGGTCACTAATATTAGTTAAATTTTTGAAGTTTGGTCACTCTCCGTCCAACTCCGTTAACTTTTGCTTATGTGGCGGTCTACTCTAGGAGTTGATTGTTAAATGTGTGACATGGCATTTAAATAATAATAAAAATATATAAAATTTAATTTCTTAAAATTTTCAGCTCATTTTTAACTATTAAAAAGATAAAAAAAAATTAAAATTTTCACTGTGACATCAATAATATTATCCGGGTCGAGCCCTTTGTTCCGGCTGCTGTGGCGGTAGTGATTGCCAACCCTCGCCGACCCCCTATGCCGCTCCTTCACCGACATGGAGACCCTCGGCATACTTTGAGGAAGCTTGCTTTTTCTACGCGACAGCATCGCTGGCAGAGTTAACAACGATGGAGATGCTGCCTCAGCAGGGGGTCAGCGGAGGTTGGCAATCACTACCGTCGCCGCAGCCAGAACAAAGGGTTCGACCTCGGATATTACTATTGATGTCACGAGAGGGTGAATTTTTTTATTATTTTTAATAGAAAGAGCTGGAAAATTTAAAAAATTAAATTAAATTTATTTTATTATTTTTAATGCCATGTCACACATTTAACGGTTAACTCTAGAGTTGATCGCTACATAAGCAAAAGTTAACGGAGTTGGACGGAGAGTGACCAAACTTGAAATATTTAACTAATTTTAGTGACCATGAATGGAATTAAATAGTTGTGTAGTGACCTAACATGAGCGTTTTTAGTAATCACAGTTAGGGGTAGAAATTGGGGTGGGTGTGGTTACCAGCCCAACATTTTGAGGGTACCCACACCCACAAATTTATAATTCTGCTACCCACAACCCGCACCGCAGTGGTTAGTGGGTAACCACTACCCACTGCGAGTTGGGTGTGGTTACCTGCAAAAATTCATTTTTGAACGTAAGGAGTTGAGGTCGCCACCACCATATTTGTTGTTCGTAGCTAGACTATAGTGATATACAATTGTGTCGTTCGTAGAGATATAATTTTGTATATCGATCTTACTCATTGTGTAGATTTTTTCTTTTCGAGTTTGGTATTCATGATATGATCCAAATCCGAAGAGAACCCTCGAACTCAGATGATATGACTAAAGTACGCAACCTTCCTTCTTTTTAAGGATTTTTGAAGCTTTTCTCCAACTTGAACAACTTGAAATAAAAGATAGATGCAGAATCAGTCGGACAATCCCAACTCGTGACAAAGGGCAATTGGTATATTAAACCAATCGGACAAAATCAACTTGTGGAAAAGGGCAATTGATATAGGGTAGATGCTTGCCACAACTAGACGCGTTCTCTAGTTGATAAGAGACACGTGA